TGCCTTAAACCTAAAAAAATGCTTTTTTTCTGTCACAAATGTCTAGATTTCTCTAGATTTGTCTGTTTACAGCAACAACAAAAAGCTAGCTATAATGATAAACACGGGGGGGTGAATAGTGTGCAAATACTTAAAAAAAAAAAAAAAAACTAAATAACCTAAATAATAAAAGAATGAAATATGAAATAAAAAATGCATACATACACATGTATACCTTTTATTAAATATATAAACATTTGTTATCAAATAAATAAAACACAGTGAACAACAATGAAGACATAGAAAAATAATAAAGAATGCATGTTAATAAGATTCTAAAATAAATATAATAAATCATAAATATATGATACTAAATAAAAAATGAGTAAATAATTAACAAATTAAAGTGGAATGAATTGTAGGAATTATGAGTACAAATTAAATGATAAAATAACAATTGATACACGTGTCATGTTATATACTAAATGCATAAAATGCTAACGAATAGCTAACAAAGAAGAAAAAATACAACTTCATTTCAGGCTTTTGTTTTTGTTTTTGATGTGAACGGGCCGTTATATCGGACCTGAAAATACACAACTCCGTGCATCAATGAAGAGTTACTGTGTATTCCAGCAACATGCTTCTGTTGAAATCGTAATAATCACACCGTGCAAATAAATCACTGAAAACCACAGTGTCAGTGTGTGATCAGCAGTGTCACTGCAGTGTGATTTGATCAGAGAGAGTGTGTGTGTGTGAGAGAGTGAGAGAGAGAGTGTGTGTGTGTGAGAGAGTGAGAGAGAGAGTGTGTGTGTGTGAGAGAGTGAGAGAGAGAGTGTGTGTGTGTGAGAGAGTGAGAGAGAGAGTGTGTGTGTGTGAGAGAGTGAGAGAGAGAGTGTGTGTGTGTGAGAGAGTGAGAGAGAGAGTGTGTGTGTGTGAGAGAGTGAGAGAGAGAGTGTGTGTGTGTGAGAGAGTGAGAGAGAGAGTGTGTGTGTGTGAGAGAGTGAGAGAGAGAGTGTGTGTGTGTGAGAGAGTGAGAGAGAGAGTGTGTGTGTGTGAGAGAGTGAGAGAGAGAGTGTGTGTGTGTGAGAGAGTGAGAGAGAGAGTGTGTGTGTGTGAGAGAGTGAGAGAGAGAGTGTGTGTGTGTGAGAGAGTGAGAGAGAGAGTGTGTGTGTGTGAGAGAGTGAGAGAGAGAGTGTGTGTGTGTGAGAGAGTGAGTGTGAGTGTGTGTGTTAGTGTGTGTGAGAGAGTGCGCGGTGGGGTCAGATGCTGTTGCTGGCAGTGAAGCGGTGAGAACACGGCCTCTCTCTCTCCAGTAACCGTCTGGCAGGACTCTCGATGTGTGTTTGATTGAGAAAGAGATGGAGACGCTTGCTCGGGTGAAAACCCCTCACCGTAGAGTGGTTGAAGGTGCTCCATCTAAAAACAGAAATGTGTCCTGAAAACAAAAAAAGATGTTGTATAGCTGTATTGTAGCTCATTGGTATCGTATTAGTTTTATTTCAATCCAGCAAGCAATCAGTGGTAGCCATAAAATAAAATCAATAGTAAAAAAGGCAGTATATATAAAGATTGTGAAGAATGTTTACCGTTTACTGCTTCATTTCTGAAGTGAATGTGAGGAGAGCTGCTGAAATGCAGATTTAAACTGCACACTTTTTAAAAACAAACACACTTCATCATGTCCATTAGAAAAACGATTAATTAATGAATACTGCAAAATATGTTATGCTATGATTAATAAGTGGTGCCATTTATATGTAACGTGATATTTATTGACATTAAGAATTACTACTGTTATTATGTCGTACAGTAGGTGGCAGATTTTCTGTACACACGTGACCTTTTTAAAAACTCCACTTCCCATCGTCCTCTGTATAATAGTGTAGTGTAGTTTCTATACTGTAATAAATGCTATGTCAGCTAGCACTGCGTTGCTCATGTACGTTATCTATTATCTGGAGAGGACGTGACCAACACAGATAAACCATATTTAATGTCTTCATGTTTCCAAACGTTTCTGTTGTCTGCGAAACGTAAACAACTGTTTTCATACAGCGATATACGCTTTTGTCCGTATTAGGGATCTCCTCGTACGAGTTTCTGCGCGAGAGCGCCTCCGGCTTCGAGTGTTTAGCGCTCCGCGATGTTCGTCTCGGCTTATTCTGCGTCTGAATAAAACATCAGATCGTGCACAGACGATCCTGTCTCTATATGCATTCACACCGGCTCTTGAAAACCTCTAGCGGACACACTTCCCCGGAAAAGTGCGGGGGACGAATTTACGTGATATTAACTCCGCGTGATCTACGCCGCTGTATAGGCCTAATATTACCATCCACGCAAACTAAATACTTCTTGATCAGTGGAAACGTCACAGTGCTTTCTAGCGCAATAAGCGCTTGCGTTCAGGCGGTACAGATCGAATTCTACATTTTTAGCGCTTATTGCGCTGCAACGTTTCCACTGATTCAGAAGTATTTTTGTTCTCTTGAGAACTCAGAAAGACCGTTCCGTTAACCACTTCGGGAGTTATTTCTCTAAAGATGTTATCGGGCCGGAGTAGGCCTGGGCGATAAAACGGTAACGGTATTTATCGACGGTACACCGTCATCGATAACGATATATTAAGCAATGTTCGATATAGGCGCGTGCTCTGAGTGACGCAGACAGCTCACACGAACACATGTGATGAGGAGATTGTGAATAAAAACATTAATATTAGTCGAATTTAAAATAAACATTTCAATGCAAAAATGGTGCAATCGAACGTTAGGCGTTCAAACCCAAACCAAGGCATTCACACAGAACGCATATTCAGCACACGGACAAATACGACGGCTGCGCTCGCGTCTCACGCAAGAGATGCAAAGATAAAACCGTTTTAACGTTTAGAAAACGCGGCGCGGATTCGTGAAAGTTTATTTCGTTTCACTGCGTCTCATTTGTTTTTAAATGCGATCTGTGTGATCGGCGATTTGGATAAACACATGATGCTGTTTTGTTCATAACTGTTTATGCGGTTTACAAAGTTATATTTGATTTACATTTGTTAATTCAGACGTTATGCACGATTTTATAGACGGTTATTTGAATTGTCAGTTTAATGCGCTGCATTATTTTGCTCTCTTGTGGCCTCGGGAGACGAGACAAAAGTTTCCTTAAGACTTATTTAATCTGCATATAAAACATACGAAAGGAGATATGTTTACATTTGATTGTGTTTGACTGTAAAAAAATAATATATATGCCTAATATATTTGTTGTTTGTCTTAATAAAGAGGGCAGATTAAAAATACAGTGGTTAATAAAAAAAAAAAAAAAAATGAGAAAGCCTGTTACTTCTCTTCTAAACCATCTAAACATGATTCTCAAGTAAAAAAAAAAAAAAAAAAAGGTTATAAAAAGTGTAAATAATTATCGATACCGAACGATATGAAACGCATATTGTTGATATATTTGTTAGCTGTATCGCCCAGCCCTAGCCAGGAGTCACAGCCACACACCAAGACATTATTCAGATGATTTGTGTCAAGACTTTTGACATGTTTCCGTCCTGAAACTATTTATACACACCTCATTCCAAGCCTTCCAGAGCGTCACTAATGCAGTTATTAGAGAGAGAGAGAGATGAAGTGCGTGTGAATACCTGCGTCTCTCAGCAGTGTTCAGCAGCAGCGTCTACTAACAGCGAATCTTTAAGCGGCTACAAGGTTATGACAAAAATCATAGTTGTCGATTATTCCCTTGAAATTGCATTGAAGTGCATTTCTACAGTATTAAGCCAAATGTCAACTATACATCGGATTGGCTTCTTCTTTAAACGATAAAAAAGTACGAATATGAATGGTATTACAATGTTACACTAAAATTAAAACAATGGAAAAACCCCTAAGATAACATGTAGAAAGAAAAAAAACGCATCTTAAGCGTGCAGAATAACATAAGTGGACTTTGAACGATTAATTGCCGCTACGTAATTGTGGCATCCAGAATTGTAATCGCGATTAGATATCCGATTAATTGTGCAGCCCTACGTCTACTAATAGCGAATCTTTAAGTTAATCTGCTTCAAGAGCATCCCCACTGAGAAATGTAATTTCAGTTTCTGTCCGCGTGTGTGCACGCGTCTGCGAGAGAGAACCGGAGAAAGCCTGATTTCCGCACATGAAGAACAGGTGGGAGACATGGGAATAGTTTGTAATTGTTTACCCTATCTGTTATATTTATTTGCTCGATGTCTTCTGGGGTTTTGGTTCTTTTATTGTTGTGGATAGGCCATAGTATAACACAATATTATATATCTCTGTTCGTTGTGCTTGGGCCCCCCTGGACGAGCGAGCATAGGCACGTGCCTAGAACGCCTGTGAGGAAATCCAGCCCTGCTCACGAGGGAGCGCACTAGATTTTGGGGGTTTCTGAAGCTGTGGCAGCCTTAATAGATGTCTATCACTCACAATCACTCACACACACACACTCACACTCACACACACACTCACACTCACACACACACACTCACAATCACACACACAGGCGCACACACATTTTGTCCGTCAGATCGCTGTTTGTGTCATGACAGCGTTCTGTATTAATCAGCCTCCATTTTTTTTACATTCCAGTAGAGGAAGGTTAATTTTTCATACGCTGTCAGATGGTTTAGTACAGAGGTGAATAAATCGTCTTTGCTGACGCGCCAGAAACCAGATTCAAGCCACACGAGCTGATCTGAGCACAAATCAGCTCTTTTTAGGAGATATTTGCACTGAATGCACAGCCAGCTCCACACACAATCACCACTGCATGAGCTATTCAAATTAAACTGTCTCATATCCGGTGACCACAGAAGGGTTTAGTAGATAGATCACACACACACACACAGAGTCTCATGGCGATGCATCGGGCCGTGTGGTTCCCGCCGCGCGCCGTGAGCTGAGTCGCACCGCTCGTCGCCGCAGCAGGACCCCGGGGCCGTCACCCTGTCGGAGCCGCAGCAGCCGGCGGCGGCAGCGCGGGAAGCCATGGCCTCGTCTGTGCGCTTCACCGTCACGCCGACCAAAGCCGAGGACCTGCCGGACACGTCTCCAGACATCAGCTCGCGCTCCAGCGGCAGGGTCCGCTTCGGCTCCAGGGAGAGCGTGATCCGCAGCGAGGCGTCCGGAGGGGTCACGACCTCGGCGGGGGCCGACACGGCGCGGGAAGCCATGGCCTCGTCTGTGCGCTTCACCGTCACGCCGACCAAAGCCGAGGACCTGCCGGACACGTCTCCAGACATCAGCTCGCGCTCTGTTCCAAATTCCGGTGAATTTTTTTCCAAATTCTGTTTTTGCCTTTTTAATTTTTCTAGATTCCATTTTTTTTCTTTGTTTAAATTTTTCTAGACTCTCTTTTAATGTTTAAGTTCAATTGTATTCACCAGAGCATGTCTAATTAATTGAAATCACGAAACTTACAATATTAAACAGCAATTTATTAAAAGTTTAACAAAAATTAAATTAAGGCCCTATGAAATTTTTTTCTCAAATTCTGATTTATTTTTTACCAAGTTGTTGGTCAATTGCATTTTAATGGTATAATTGAATATTAATAATCCAAAGCATCTCTAATTAATAGATTTTATTAAAAAATTATTTATTATTATTTTATTTATTTCGTTTTTTCCCAGAAATAGTGTGTTGTGTATTTAAAAAAATTTTCTGCTGAAAAAATTCTGGTAAAGAATTTTTCTGGTAAATATTCCTTTAAAAATAACATTTTAATAATAATTGTATTATTTATCATTGCATTAACTAATATTTGTGTCACCGTTTCTTCAAGTTAAACTGGACTTTTATTTTGACGGGTTGCTGTGAAGGCCTTTTCTGTGATATGACGATAGTTTTACTCAAAAGAAAGGGTAAAATGCTCATGAAGTGACTCTCTCGAGATTACGTTCATGTGTTGATTTAAGTGTACTGACCTACTTTTTTATTTGGCAAATTATGTGACATTATACAGTAAATTCCATTTTTATGACTATGATTAGTCACTATGATTGATCTTTACGCAAGCGCACATCTGAGATTTTCTTCCAGGGTTCCTGCTGGTCCTTAAAAACTCTTCAATTCAATTTGATCGAATTTAAGCTCATAAAAAGTCTTAAATTGTATAACACACATCTTAATGATCATTTGGGAGCAGGTTAAGTCCTACTGCGATTAAGCTTGTGATGCATGATTTTTTAAAATTCAATTTTAAATTAAATATTTATACTTTTTTTTAAAAATGCAACTAAAAATGGTAACATCTAAATTAACTGGTTTTATTCAAGTCAAAAATATGATTAGATATCACTGAATCAGCTCAAATATACTCATTTATAACAACAAAACCAATTTTTTGGGTTAAATCAAGTAGAAATAACTCATGAAGGTAATAGTTGCCAATTTTTGCAGTGTGATTAAAATAATTAAATCCGTGTTATAGTGTTTATTAATATTTTGAAAGCTTTTATCTTTAAATATTAAATATTAGCTTTATTTATTACAGTTTTAGTTTGAGTAATTTTAATACTTATTTATTGAGTAATTAAAATAATGCTTATTTCATTTCAATTATTTGTCAAGGTAATGTTTCTAATTTGTGTTTTGGTTTCGTATGACGTTTTTCATCTAATATTTATATTTTATTTCAACTTTAAAATAACAACAATTGTTTTAAGTGGTTTTAGTTTTAGTTAACTCTGATCTCAGTTTTTTTTTTCTCATGGAAAACAAGAAAATAATGATTTCATATCTAATATGTAATTTAATTAATAGTTTCAAATGATTAATTGTGAGAGAGTTACACGTCTGTAGTGTTCGCATGTACCAGAGTTAAACGCCAAACGCTGTGAATGAAATAATCTGCACATTTCAATAAAAATGCAACTCTGTTGCTCTTTCTACGTGATGACACTTTCAGAGCAGGTCGCGATTAATGAATATTGAATACGCACATTTATGACAAATTATTCTTATGATTTAAAGGTGACAGCCATTTCAAAATTAGAGTCCTGGTGTATTTCCTGCTTGTTAATAATTAAAAATCGTGCATTATGCCTAAAATTTTAATTTTATTATTAATAATATAATAAAATAGAGTATATTATATTATTATTATTGGCATTTTACAAACACAATAAGCTTTATCTAGCATTTAATTCACCGTAAACTCTTGTAGGAAAGAGTTAATTTTTTTAACACATAAGTATTTCGATTTTACGTATCAGTAAAGTATACTAGAAGTCCATACTGCGCAGTAAGCAGCACGTCGTGTCCCCTAAAGAGGGTGTGACTCTCAATGTGCAACATCATCATTATGAAACGGGAAGTTCCTTTCAGAGAAATTATGTAATTCTGACTGTCATGTGAGTTTAGCTGCAGCACTCCCTAATGTACAGAAAACACACACACACACACACACACACACACACAGATATAGACACACACACAGATGAGAAACGTGTGTGAAGGTTTGGCACAATCATACACACTTACTAGTCATTATGTTGCTTTAAGAGCTTCACATGTAGATGACAAATGTGAGCCAAAATCATCACAATTAAAAGAACCAAAGACTTAAACTACTTCAGTCTGTGTGCATTGAATTGATTTAATACACGAGTTTCACAATTTGAGTTGAATTACTGAAATAAATGAACTTTTCCACGACATTCTAATTTATTGAGATGCACCTGTAGATGTAACATTTCATAGTGCCCTATTATTGTAAAAAATGAAAAAATAAGTTGTTTTTATTTGGATTTATGAATTCAGTTCATCACAGATGCTTTTTGATTTATTGATTGATTGATTGATTGATTGATTTTTTTTGATGATTAAATTTAATTAAACCATTAAAACGGAATCCTGAAAAATTCAAATGAAAAATACAGAATTGAATTAGGTAAACGGGTAAATATAAAACAGAATTTAAGAAAATCTAATTAATTTTTGTTAAATTGTTTGTTATGATTTCAATTAATTAGACATGCTTTTTGATTACTAAAATGTAATTTCAATATTAAAACAGAGAACAGAAAAATTTAAATGGAAGGGGAAAAAATGAATTTGTGAAAAAATAAAAGAGGGCCTTATGTTTGCGGAGGGTGTGGTTATTTTGTTATTTTTGAGTGTGACAGGAAGCAAACGTGTGTGTGTGTGTGTGTGTGTGTGTGTGAATGACTGAGTGTGTGTGTGTTGGTGAGAGAGAATGACTGAGTGTGTCTGTGTTTGTGAGAATGACTGAGTGTGTGTGTGTGTGTGTGTGTGTGTGTGTGTGTGTGTGTGAGTGTATGTGTGTGTGAATGACTGAGTGTGTGTGTCTGTGTGAGAGAGAATGACTGAGTGTGTCTGTGTTTGTGAGAATGACTGTGTGTGTGTGTGTGTGTGTGTGTGTGTGAGTGAATGTGTGTGTGAATGACTGAGTGTGTGTGTCTGAGTGAGAGTGTGTGTGTGTGTGTGTGTGTGTCT